TTTGGATTGTTACGAGTCGGTAGTACTGTATATTAGAAGATTTATCATATTGTCTATTTTTAAGAATTCATATACGGAAAAGGCGACCCATGTAAATACATCGGTTTCTTACTCGTGAAAAGGAACTATTCTTGGCAACTTGGACAACTTATGACAATATTTGTCCTGCATATCACCAGGAAGATTGCCCCGACTACGCTTAGGCCCTGCCTCATTATTGGAAAATGCAACCGGCAACCCCAATGATTTGGGAGCCAATTGACAGATTTGGCCTATTCGTTTGCCTGGATCAATAGAACCTTTTGATATTTCATATCCACTTTGATTTGATTTCAGTCCTTGAACTGGATCTCCTAAGCTGAAACAACAAAGGTAGAAGTAGCGATCCCATCTGTCTTATTTCACTCTTCGTCATGTGTCAGTTGTCTGGGGTAGTTTGAATTAAAAGTGGCTCTCTCTCACAAAATATTGCAGGATCATTCAATGTCTAAATTCTTCAGGTTTGGAGTACAAGATGTTATTTTGTGTCTTCTTCCAGTTCCAAATAAAGCAAAACAAAAATATAATGAAAATCATTCCTTCGTCCTTTTTTTTCCTCCTTTGTTTAGCCCATGAAATATACACCAAGCTCCAAGAAAATCCATTTAAGAGTCTCAATCTCTCTGTACTTTCTCAAAAAAAGAGGCTTCATCTCTCTGTCAACTCTTCCATGGTATGTTTGGGATTATTTATCTATCGAGTGTAAACAAAATTACTGGTTGTAAAATTCTATGATAAGAATTCTATTCTTAAATCCGAATCCACAGATTGTAATGCACCAAGGACAAAAGTGTCCAGTATACAACTGATAAAGATATGGACATTGGGCCTAACTCAACCCCAAAAGCTAGCTCATGAGGTGAGGATTGCCCAAGCCATATAAGGAGACCAAGTCCTCCATCCCTTAGCCGATGTGGGAGACTCACTCCATCCCTTGGCTATACAACATCTCAATATGCAGGAAGCTGCAAAAACAGAGAGGATAAAAAGGCACAAGTGTTCTTAGCAGGTGAACCTGAGTAGTGTGGATATGGAGAGGATGCTAATATCTGGATCCCAAACCATGACCAGCAGCATTGCAGCAGTTCCTGCAATTGTTTGAAGTGTTTTAAGTATAGGAAGTACAGATTGAATAAAATTGTAGAAGAAATGTAATCTTCAAGGAAGTTGGAGATTCAAACTTAGTGCTTCCCCAAAGTATTCTTCAAATAACACAAGGCTATGGATATTATCTTTAGGGATCACAGTTTGTAAATTAGCAAGCTTCTCAGAAGACTAGAATATAATTCAGGTTAACCAAGATTTACTTGATTGTACTTTCCCTTCTTCACCAGGAAGTAAGGATGGGGCATTGAGAAAGGTAGAAATTTTGAATGATTTAATGCATCATGAATATTCACATATGCAAATTAATAAATGTAAAAAGGAAATGATTGTATTGCTTTGCTAAAACACACAATTCAACTGTAACAAACCAGTCCTGCATTTAAATAATATATTTTAGCACTACAGCAAGATTTGTTTTGACCTTAAATTTAGAGATTAAAACAAAGTAAAAAATGGACGGTACACAAAAAAAGGCTGAACACAACCAAAGAACCAAGTAGAGATGTACCATATGCAATTGTCGCAAACGGTAGGCGAATAATGTGCTTCAGCTTCTGGCTGAAAACACAGTAACCCTACAAGATTAAACCATTGTGCACTTCAAAAGTTTGACACTTCACAACAGATGATTGGATTATGGCAAAATAAGAAGGAAACAAGCAATTGTCAATCTTAATAAGAAAAATATTTCAGGAGTAATATGTAATCCTCATCCAAGTAGTGCATACAAGTCCCCCATTCTCGACAAGAAAGATACCCAGAATACCAAAAAGTTTTATGCGAAAATGGCACAGAGAAGTTGTCATCTTGGTCAACCGACTTATACTCCTTTATACCCCCAAGATAGCTAGTGGACAAGCCAACATTTAGTCTCATGTAGATTGGGTACCAAGTTTTCTTCCTACGTCTGTCAGGCTCTTTAACTATCTGGTAGCACCATATTAAGAACATCCAAAGAATGCACAGTGGCTTACACCAGAAAGTGGAGCAACTTTAATGCTATGCATGTTTTGGCGCCATACCGGACTTTAATATATGCACAAAGCCTCACAGAAATATGATATGATATTAACCAAAATGATTTTGGGAGAGATTGTTTTTAATATTCTGTTTTCTTTTGTGTACATGTCGATTGGGGGGAATGGGGCAGCGGACGGACATGAGGGAGAGAAAAGAAAGTTATATCCAATGAGGTAGCGCTGACATTAATCATTGACTCCCTGTGTTATTTTCCTCCCCTTGCACAACCTCTAAGTCAAGATTTATAGTGGCAAAATGCCATTCATGACATCAAAACTACAAAAATATATAGTAATGCATAACGGAAAACTCACCTGCAACCGTATTTTCTGGACTTGGTATACCAGATATTGCTGAAAAATGCCTGCAGATATTGAATATTAATGTTTAACAATTAGAGAAAAGTCAACAACAGGAAAAATACAAATGATGAAAGATATTTTAAACTTATAACTTGGCCAAGATGAAACAGTATAACCGGAGAGTATAATTTCATAGGAGCAGACCCGTGATAACTAAGAGGGCAACATTACAACTGCAAAGAAGTTGGAAAACTAATCCCCCGATCAGGTGAAATATCCATGTAGCCCCCACAGCCAAAACAGCAAAACCTGCCTAGGAATTTGTTATTAATCAGCTCCCATATAAGTGACTAATTTGCACGCGGAATTGAAGTAGTATTACTTGCCAATAAGATACAGTAGAAAACACTCCCAATCAGGCTTGCAGGCTTCCTATTACCAAAAAGTGGTGCCTCATCCAGTATGTCCAGGAACCTACAGTTAAAAAGCAGCAGGGACATTTATCAGCAAGAAAGCTCCAATATTAAGTAAAAAAAGGGGATAACTTCAATTTTTTTTTTTTTTTGAGAAGGGATAACTTTAATTTTGACTGTATATTTCACTTGGCAAGTCATATAACTGACCATAAATTATTGCAGTGAAATAGGGTGATTTTGGGCCAACTTCACTGGATTTTGGCAACGGCAAAGTTGAGTGTGAAGGGGAGCCTTGGAGCAACGGTAAAGTTGTTTTCGTGTGACCTAGAGGTCACAGGTTCGAGCCGTGAAATCAGCCACGGCTGCCTACATCACAACTACTTGGGGTGCGGCCGTTTCTCGGACCATGCGTAAGCACGAGATGCTTATTGCACCGAGCCGCTCTTTTTTTAAGTGAAAGTTGAGGGATTTTATGGTTAGAAAAATAAGTTTCATGATTTTACTGCATTATAATTTAAGCTGAGTGACATTTTGTGTAATTAACCTCCATTTTGCTTAATACATCATCATTCTATCATCCTAAGTTTCCCCTTCTCCTCCTTATGCACATACATACCTCATAATTTACAGTCTAGAGGCTGATTTTGAAGATCATAACACCCAGATATATTTGTTTAGTTGATTATATGAAAGAAACATAATAAACAGTGATACAAAGTTAACAGAAAAAGAGGAAAACATAATTAAAATCTCTTGAAAATTTTTGCTAGAATTTTAAATAATTATCCTAATAAGTCACTCGTCAAACAACACTTTGTTCTAATAAAATACAGTTCACTGTAACGCTAGCCACATTTATGAGTTCGAATTCACAATTAGGTATTTTCAGAAATTGCCATAGGAAGTATTTACGAAATTTTCAGCCAGCAGAAAGAGAAAAATTAACTGAATTACAAATAATAAACAAACATTGCGATATTTCAACTTTAAAGTACGGCAACAAAAATGAGAAATTGAAAACTGAAAGACTGACGATGACGAATTGCTGGAAATTGAACGTAACAAAATCAAAATGTTGCGTGTGTAGAGGAATCAATGTGATTATTGAGGGAATAGATTGGAGGACTAGCGCTTACAAATTGTTTTCGTTTTCGTAGATAGAAGAAGAGTGTCTTTCTCCTGACATTTTCTTCTTCTTCTTCGCCTTCTAGTTCAAAACATAACCACTGTGCTTCGTTCTGTATTTAATTTGGAGGTTTCTCTTCGTTATTTTAGTTTCAAATTTTCCTTTTTATTCCCCATGCTTGCCACCAAATTATAAATAAATAGATAACATGTGTTTGCAATAATTTTTATTACTACTTAAGTACTTATCAATATTTAGTTTTACATATCTTATAATTTTGATGTAGATTTATTTTGATTGTTATTTAAATTTTATTGTATCATATTATTAAATTTACTATTATGAAACAATGAAAAATATCACTTTATGATAAGGTCTTATTTGATGGGTTGCTTCGTTACCTTATATTTTACTCTATCTTGCCCTTTTTTATTATTAAATAATTTTTGTTTATCTTTTACCCTACATTTTTATAATAACTCTACTCATATCCTACTTTTTCTTTTATAATTTTGTAAGTTTATTATTCATATTATTGGTGTATGACACCATAAAACGGCGACAAATAATACAATCTATTATTGTATTCATCAAAACAATGCAGTATAGCACAACGCGATATTCATTAAGAAATAATATTTAACAAACATCCAAACAAGTTGTTAACTATAATAAAGAAATAGTAATATTGATGCAAACATCAAGCCTGAGGAAGAATTTTTCGCTTATAGTAGTCAAAATCATTTATTATTCAAATATATGTTCTTCCTTCAGTAATAGTTTCAGATTGTGCCATGTCGTCCATTTATTTCGTGAGTTAAATCCAATTGAAGTGAACCATCGTCGTTCCAAATTCTGACAGTTGAATGGTTTTGTTAAAATGACTCAGTTGTAACTCGTAAACAAATTAAATTAAGGACAACGACAACTATAATGTCTAAAATCAAACAAATTGAAGTCGGTTATACGCAAAAGCTGACCAGCATAAAATAAGAAGAAAAACATTTAAATGGTTGTGTATAAATAACTTGCTTCACGAATGTTGTAAATTCAGTATCTCTGTTCTTATTCGTTTACTACATAAGTAGCCTAAATCATCTTTGTATGTACTATACGTGTTTTGAACATAAATCTGAGAACGGAGACCGAATGCTGCTGTATCATCAACTGGGACAATGTGGGATTTAGGCCTACTTCCCTTTGGGAAAATAAATTACAAAATTCAAAATTCAGGCAACGACAGGGTAGGATGCGCAAGTGGCAATACCACACATGTTCTTTCCCATCTCCATTTTGAAGTATCCATTGTCACCCCAATCTGCTCCCCATGAATTCTTGATGAGCCAATAGGGAACACCATTTTCAACACCGTAACCCACAGCAAGAACAGCATGGTTTACATCCTGCCAATGCAACACACAATGTTTGTAATATTGTATATATGCCTATTTAGCGAAGTCAGGAATTTCACTTAGGGTGTTCACGATTTAATATATATGCACAACAGTGAAGTGAAGGGTGTTCAACTGACGACCCTTGGTCAGCTGTAGCTTTACCCTGTATTTAGGTAACTATGTCAATATAGTTGCATATCACGTTCCTAGGGACAGATGACTTACCATGGGAGTGTTGCCACATTCGGTGCTGGTGTAAACACCACTCTTGTATTGTTTGAAACCTTTTATCACCTCAAAAGCTATACTAACGGGCCTAACCAATGCAACCGCGTATTTTAGTTCATCTTCAGCACCCTGTAATGACAAGGAACTTAACCAATCCTTATTGACCATGAAGGATGGATATTAACACTAGTAAAGATTGGTTGCATCCCGGAGGGAAGAGATATCATACCAGGGTAATATTGACAGAATCGATGACTTTGACACCAACATTTTCTGATGAGAATTTACATAAGCCATTCTTGCCAGTGTATGGATATGCTTCTTCAGTGTCAAGACCACCATTGGATTTAATGTACTCAAAGGCTTGTGATGGGAGCCCACCATTGCAGCCAAAGTTATTAAAAGCTCCAGCACAGTCCACAAGCTGCTGCTCAGATAGAGAGATTCCCTTCCCAAATGCTTGGCTATATGCTGCTTCTAGTGCACCAGTAGTGCTGCCAAATTAACGACATGTGCCTTCTTCATTATATTTCAGCTTAAGAGTGCAATTTCAAGACTTACAATTTAAGAGTCCAATGATGTGAGATTTTAACTAATTCTTACCTGAATGTCCAGCAAGATCCGCACTTGCCCTGGTTCTTGACTGGGCTGACAATCCCAGCTTCCCTCCAGTCTTTCTATAATTACGAAATTGGAAATTTCGCGTTAGGAAAGAAAAAACTTCTTTTTGCAACCAATTTTACATTAACTCAGTACATGCTCGCTAGTCTACTGGAGCTACCAACTTCGATCAATTAGCCAAGATTTTTACCAGATATGAAATCATGACTGGTGCTCGATCTAGTGGTATTTCATATGAGGATTCTATTTATCGTTATAGGATACCTATTCAAGATCTTTGTAGTTAGTGTTTCTATAATTACATAATTAAACTCCGAGCACTCCACAATTCTGGAAATAATAAATCATCAGAAAGTAGTTTAACTCTAATGATCACTAACTCGAGAAATAGATACAGAGGAGTTCTGAGTGCATATACCGTCTCCGGCAGAACAACGTTAGTGAGTTTGAGATTGCCTTTTGTGGTGGCTGAACAGTTTTGAGCTGCCCCCAACCTGTCTCTCCGGAACTCGTCCCATGTTAGGTCGGTAAACTCTGTCATGAAACATAATAATCGATAAACAATAAGGGCCATATACAATAGAACTTAGAAGCATAAAATGCACACTTATTTCTTTACTTTTTGTTGTTGAATCTATGCACAACTAGATTAAGTTGCAAAAACTTTTCATTTGGGCAGTCCAATGCTTAGGTGCATAATTCTTTCCATGTACTGTGATTTTGTTTTTATGTCCATATATGAATGAATAGAGAAGAAATAAGAATTCAGTTTAGATTTTTTTTAGTCTTTAAGCAGGATCAGTTGTAATGAAGAAAAGCTTTTGAATTGTGCTTTTAAAAAAAAAGTTTTTTGATTGGAGAGAGAAAGGGTACCCACTAGCCACACAATATGAATGAAATATCTACACATGATAAGGCACTAGACCAATTAATTACTAATAAAATATGCAAACTATAAATACCGTATGTTTTATCGCATTATAGTTTTAATTTGTCCACATCTAAATAAAAGTTACCTTATTTTACAATAATAACTATAATTAGTCCTTAATCTGTTACCTTAGCTGAAGAAAAAAACAAAGAGTATTCCAGTAAAGGAACCACCAAACTATAATTTGTTACCTCCAAATCAACAAATTAAGATTCCAGTTAAGCAAAAGAGAAAAAAAGCAAAAAAGGAAAAGAGCAGGGGCTTAGCGTTATGCTATAATATTAATTATACCATTAACACTGAGTTTGTATGATAGTCCTTTCTTGTTATGCGATCGAATCATCTTCAAATTGTCCAAAAATACCTTGAACCTTTGCTTTATCTCCTCAACTGACTCGTACCTCTTCCCATACCTTAAAAACGTCCCAAAAATAAAAAGACTTAAGTTATATACATTTATAAAAAAAAATTTACACTATCATTACCAACTAATACATATTAAGTGATTTATTTGTTATTATCTGATTTATGTAAAAAATTTAAAAAAATATATATATGCTCACTGCATATATAGAACTTAAACTCAAAATAAAACAATTACTATTAATAAGCAAATAACAAAAAATAAATCTCATTTCCATGTAGTGATCATCGTACCTGTGAGCAAAGCGAGCGAAGGAGAGAGCATGGCGAGTCTTGCCGACGACTTGGAGAATTCCGTTCTCCAGCTCATGTAAACCGTCAGAAACGACTTGTCTGATCGGATTCTCATCGGCGAAGGTCGCCGGCCCGGCAAGTGCGGCGGCGAAAAGGCCACCGGCGACGACGAGAGACAGTAGGAGTGAGAAACGAGACATTATAATCTCCTCTCAGAGAATGTGGGGAAGGGAATTATACGGATTGGATGATTGTTTATGGTAAGGCTTTGGTAGAATAGTGGAGAATTTATTCAGGTGGGTTTTGTCCGCTATTTAAGTGGGGTCCATTTTCAGGGAGAAATTAAAAAGTAGTCACATTTACAAGTGGTCATTCAAAAATAGCCACAATTTCAAAAGATTGAAATTTAGTCACTTTTCATGTAAAGATAAATATGAATAAAAACACTATTCAAGATCCGACAAAATACTCCAGCATAATATACTGGTATTCAGTATATATATTATACTGGAGTTCCAGTATATTTTGCTAGAACTCCGGTATATTATAATGGAGTTCCAGCAAAGTATACTCGAACTCCAGTTTATTATACTGGAGTTTGGAGTTCCAGTATACTGGAACTCCAGTATATTATACTGGAGCCAGCAAAGTATACCGATCAAGCATAATATGCTGGAAGTTCATACACAGGTGCACACTCCAGTATATTATGCTGGACCGGTCTCTATTGCAGCAAAATATTAGCTATTTTTTAATGACTTGGCAAACGCTGGTTATTTTTAAATGACCAGTTCAAAAACTAGCTAGCCCGTGCTATTTTAACCATTTTCAGAAGTATGGCCCAAATATGACATCTTTATAATGAGTCAAACTTATTATTTACTTTTTTTTAGTCGATATACATTGATTATACAATTGTTACTCCTTTTAATCAATATCCAGTCAAATTTTATTATGAGAGCATTTGGATTGGATTTTAAGCTGGTCAAATCAGATTTTAAGTTTTTAAAAGCTTTTTTCACTGTTTGGAAAAGTCAAAAATTGTTAAAATAAGTTAAAACTTAAAATAAGTCAAAAGCAATAAGCTGGGCGACCCCCAACTTATTGCTTTTTGGCTTAAAAGTTATTTTTGCTGAAAAATTACTTTTTTAAGACAATTCAAACGGGCTCTATATTTTCTATAACAATACTTTCACTATAATGGTCAAGTTCTTTTTTGGAGCAAAATTTTCACGTTATATTATAAATATGTTCTCTGTAACAGCACAAAAATATGTGAAACAAATAAAGCAGTTAGTGAGAGGTTTGACTGTATATTGATTATATACGATTACACATATAATATAGTACATGCAATACACATATTATATGAGTATTCGTTAGCTATATTTAGTTTAAACGGTTGAATTAGCGATTATTTAGGTTAATACTCGATGATATTTACAACTTTATCCTTTAGAGATATTTTGACTAAAAACTAGAAAGAATCTTGATGGAAGAATCTTTGAGTGGGGCTTATTGTTTTTTGGTGGGAAGTGTGTTGGCGTGCTCGCAAAGTTGAAAAAAGATGGCGTAGGGGCTGACGTTAATTTTTTTTTTTTTGATTTTCCATCCGATGTCCGATATCCGTATTAGAGCCCAACTATATCCGGATTCGCGCCGCTTAGGGCCTCATTCGGGGGAAAGCGCTCCCTACTAAGGATTTTTCCATACCCAGAGCTCGAACTCGAGACCTCTGATTAAGGTAAGAACAGTCTCATCCACTGCACCACATTATGGTGGGGCTGACGCTAATTTCATATTCCCAGCATTTCCGTTATGGGATCTGTTTGGAAGTTTGTACATTAGTTAATACAATATGGGAATGGGAGTATCTCATTATGATTTTTTTTTTTTTGATGAATTATTTTTTATATTTTTTCATAATTAATTTTTATAGTAGGTTGATAACTAATTTTTTTGCGTATATTTTTAACAAAACCAAATTCTAATGCCACTGCATTAAATTACTTATTATTCATATAAGTAAAGAAGAAGAAGCAATATGTGGTGGAAATTTAGAAGAGTAGAAGGCAACATTATCTAAGTTTATCCAATGAACACTCAAGGATATGGAGTAGTTTTGTCATTTTGTTTGAATTTTCGTGTAGAACAGAAAGGGACCATGACTTTGGAAAAAATAAAAAAGAGAGGGTATTATATTGAAAAATAATACTAGAAAACAAAGACGACTAAAGGTGCTGCAACGTTTTCTATTGTTTGATTAATTCTCCCTTTTAGACGATTCTTAGGTCAGCCAAACCAAATGGAGGATCAAGTTATTGTTAGTCAATCTGTATTATTATAATAAATAAAGAAACAGTAAATTTTTTGAAACAGAAAACAGGAACAGAGTCAAAATAATATATGAAAAAATAATTTTGGAACAAAACGAGCCCACTGAATGCACAGTGTGTCCATAAGGAAATTATTCCCCTTAAGTATCACACTGGAATAAATTTGTGCACGAGAAGAAAAAATCTTGAATATTTGGCTAATTTAATTAATGTTTTATTAAATAATTTAAAAAAATTGTCCAAAAAGATTAATCAGTCAATCTTTGACCGAAGCCGAACGACAACGACGACGACGCGATGTTTGCCTTCTTCTTAACTCTTTAAGAGCTAGAAGAAGAGCAATTGTATATATACCCATCAAAAGTCATTTCCTCGTCCAATATGGGACAATGTCCTTTTGTCAAGGAGGGAAATTCAAATATTTCATTGGCAGAATAGCCTAAATGGCACCTATACTTGTGCCACTTTGTCATGCTGGTCCCCAACTTAACAATTTGCCAATTGAACACTTATACTCCTTCAAACCTTGTATAATAAACGCTTATGACAAGAGGCTGCAGTGCGTGTAATACAATCTCCTCCATGTTGGCTGCCACGTCAAAAAATAACAATGTGTAGATGCCATGTCACATGATAGATTAAAAATAATTCAAATCAAAAATAAAAAATAAAAAATAAAAATAAAATTCAAACATTAATCCCCATTCTCCTAATCCCCTCCCTCGTTGATTTCTCTCTCTCCCCTCACATTCTTCCTCCTGCCCATCTCGCTTCTCTCTCTTCATGTTCTTCCTCCTCTCCCCTTCCAATTCTTCCCTTTTTATGTTATAGAAATAAAATTAAAATGAATAAAGAAGAGAAACCGAGGTAAGATTAATTTTTTTTTTCTAGATCGAAAAGTGGGAGAAGAAGTTCGGTGGTCTATTTCCATGGTTGAAGGCGTTATGTGGCGGTGAAGAAGTTTGGTGGTCCTCGTCCAGGTCAAAAATTAATACCCGCTGCCCCTTGAGTATATTGATACTCGCTACCCCTTTAGTATATTTTTGACTTGTTCAGAATTCAAGAGTGGTAAAAAATGACACCATAAGTATACAGAGAGGTTTTCAATATTGAAGAAAATACAGCAAAAACGGCCACTTTTAAGGGAACTTTAAGGATTGGGTTATTTTTCTTTTTTTGAAAGGGGGAGGAGGGAGTGGGGAAGAAGAAGAGGCATACAGGGGAAAGAACGAAAAGGGAAGAGGCGGGGTGGTTTGGGAGGGGGAAGGGGGTTGGAGAAGAAGAAGAAGCGTACAGGGAAAGGGAAAGAACAGAAAGAGACAATATCTCTTTTGCTTTTTTCTTTTTTGATTTATTTTATCTTTATCTTTTAAATTTATTTTTTATTCTTATTTTAATGATTTTTTTTCTTCTTATTTTAATGATTTCTTGTTCAAAATCTTCATATACACGCTCGTTATCCGCGTGAATTTCACCCGCTTTGTCCAGCTCAACTATTTTGTTGCCACATGTGCTTGTAAAAAATGCACGGGACGCCCTATTTGGTCGCCCCCATTTAATCTATACCCATATTTTTAAAATTATTTAACCTATACTCTAATTTTTACAACTTCAGGCCCCTCCTTCTTCCTGCTACCTGTGCACTCCTTTCTTTTCATTGGAAAACTGTAGTGTGGAATTATGTTCGATGAACATATACATAAAGGAAAAAAGGAAATCTTGCTTTTCTTTCTGTACGATGAGGGCAAAACAGATATGTGAAGGAAGAGATCTTCATCGTCTACTATATACGAATGATATAGCATTGGACCTCCTGATTTTGATGTTGTGATTGCAATTTTCAGCATAATGTACCTAAAGCCAATGGATCGCATCCCATGACTCGAATATTGCTGGCCTGAGTTTACATAGTAATGTAAACTGCAGTGTTACTTGATGAACATAAATGGTGCAATTTATGAAATTTTCCAAGCTACTGCTACAAACTTAATAAGATCACATCAGGTTTAGGGAAAGCTTCTTTGAGGCAGTAGACCTATAACGAGTTTGTGACTTTAAATATAGTCCATAAATCAGCTGAAGTTCAGCAAATATAGAACAAAACTTCAGCTAAAACATGCTGAAGTTCAGCAAATAGAGAACAAAACTTCAGCTAGTAGAATGCTTAAGTTCAGCAATTACAAATAAAAACTTCAGTCAACACTAAGTTTACGCGAAAAACTTCAGCTAAAATATGATGAAGTTCAGCAAATAGAGAACAAAACTTCAGCTAGTACGACTGTAGGTCAAAAACTTCAGCTTATTTTAGTGCTGAAGTTTTTACAAATGAACTAAATAACTTCAGCATCTTCTGCTGAAGTTTTTGAAAAAGCTTTATGACAAAACTAATGAATCCAGGACAAAACTTCAGCTTATTTAGTGCTGAAGTTTGTACAAATGAACTAAATAACTTCAGCATCTTCTGCTGATGTTTTTGAAAAAGCTTTACGACAAAACTATTGAATCCAGGACAAAACTTCAGCTAAAACATGCTGAAGTTCAGCAAATAGAGAACAAAACTTCAGCTAGTAGAATGCTTAAGTTCAGCAATTACAAACAACTTCAGGCCCGTCTACTAGAATGCTAAAGTTTGCGTGATTGCCTTTGCTACTTCAGGCCCGTATGCCTGAAGTTTACGCGAAAAGTGGGTACGCTTGTAATTATTTTTGCAAAGCGGGTATAAGTTAAAACGTGACCCAAAAAGCGGGTATAGATGCAAATCCCCCCAATCAACGGTCAGAGGGGTTTAAAATATAGGCTTTGATCAAGTTAAAGTGTTTGGATGAAAACAAGTAAAGTAGGAGGACCGGGATGTCAAACCGAAACAAGTACAAGGGCCTACTAGGCTATTCTGCCTTTCATTTTCCCTCCATTTCCCATTCACTCTTTATTTTAAGCTAACCAA